TCCTCCCGTGTCCACATCATTGGCCCATTTCATACTCCCACAGTACCCTGGGATTTCCTCCCTATCTTTTAGTTTACCATATAGTCGCCTCCTTAGGTTATTGACAGGGGAGATCATTGTATGCATGTTTTACCCTACCATCCAACACAGAATGGGGATTCAACAATTGCTTGCTAAATAACAGAATGAGGTCTGTAAATAAATCTCAATTTTCCCCAGGTATTTTCAGAGTCATTCTGGAAATTCTTCTGCACTGAGAAATGTGATATCTATAAACTTTACATATCTGTCTAGAAATTAAATAATTTGTGGATTTGTGGATTTTGGTTCTTGGTAATAAAAATAATATGAACAAAGGAAACTCACATGTACAAACCCCTTAATTGAGCTTACCTTTTATTTCCTTGAAAACAAACAATTATAAGAAATTATTGCTAGCTTTTGTCTAACTTGACTTTCTCTCAATATGCCCTCAAAGTACAGAAATAGACCAAAATCAAGAAACAGAAGAGCCAAGGAAAGACTTCCTACCAAATGTATCCAAATGCAGTCTTATTATTTGAATAACTAACAATTAGACCCACCTTCATCGCTCAGATGTTGAATGTGATCAAACCTTTATTTATCTCTTGGAACTGAAGTTCTATGTCTAACATAAAGTTTGTTTTCTCATTTACTATTCCTTTGGTATTTATTGAAAGTATCTTTTTAAAAACATGTATGAAATGTCCACTAGCTTTCTGATCTTTGTGATTCTTCTAAAAGAAACTGATGACAACCAGCCATAGGGCTTCCTGTGTGGATGGGATCAACTTAAGTGTCCTCCACAAGCTAGGGGAGACAAGCCAGGAAACAATGACACATTTGCTTTATTTTTTATGGCTGAAAAATAGAAGGTTCCCACATCTTTGCACTACAAAGTAGAGGACAGCATTGCAAATCAACTAAAGAGTAGTGGGAAAAAGACATTCCCCCTGCTTCTAATGAAGAGAACTTACAGTGGTCAAAAAAGGAACAAACTTTTCTCAGTTAGCTCTGCAATTTTTAGCTTAATGTTATTAAGGGAAGGTCATCATTAATATATGGAAGGATAAATCTGTATTTTGAAGTCCTTTCTTCTGACATTGCTCAAAGAAAGCCAACCAAGAGGCACCTCATAAATAGATCCTCTTATTCCAAACATAGGAAACGGAAAGCCAGTGCTTGGGAACTACCTTCACCCATTGGTATTAAAATTGACCTACTGGGAATATAAATGAAGTAGAGAACTCTCCAGAGCTGTCTCAGAGAAAGGTGTAAGGTCCTTCCAAATGCAGACTTCATGAAAACTTGGGTGTGTAAGAAATCTGTTGCAAAGGAGCATACAGTGATTATGGAAACTGTTTCCTTTAATCTTTGTGCTGAGGATTTAGGGCCTGCAGAGTCAGGAGGCCTTTTTTTTTTTTTTTTTGCATTGGCCATTTTAGTATTCATGTCTCCTGTACTGCTTTCTAATAAGTTAAGAATGAAACGGGAGACTGCATGCAGGAGTGAGAAATGTAAGAAAAGCAGTACTGTAAAATAAAAATGAATGAAAGTGCATCTCAACTTCCCTTTTATTATTAACAGGCAGGGAACAACAATAGCCAATTTTATTGTTATACTGAGCACTTCACATTGACAAAGGGGGTTTGCAGTCATTTTTACATGTTATTTCTCAGTACTTTTTCTGACAGAGGCTGGGGAGCTCTGTCACTATTCTTAAAGATCAATTATACCATCTTATATTAACTGATTGCCCCCAAAAGGAAGATAAAATGCAGTCTGTGTCAGCATGTTCTCCAAACAGTTTTACGTTCTCTTTGCAGTTTGGGTGGATCAATCAAACCACTGCTTGGCTGATTATTTGGATTGTGTTTCTTTATGTTGCATATACCCATTTTTCCCCTCTCCCTTACTTCTACTCTATTCAGTTTGTTACTTCTTGAGTGTGCCCCTCATGTAGCATTTCAAAAATCCTTTAAATTCTTCTCTGTTAGAGGATGGGATAAACAGTGGGACTCGAGGAAGGGTTCCCCAGTGTATTTCTTGAGGGGAGTATGCCTGCCAGACACAGTGAGAAATGTTTGCTTGAGCTGAGTGTGCAAAGGATGCTAAGGTTCAGAAGCTCTGTTTGACCTCAGTTTTAGAGACTTCATAGTTCACTTGTGAGTCCGTATGAAGACATGTACTAAATAAGCAGATCCCATGCAAGGAGACTGTCTCCTACCTTGAACTGTCATCCTCATCTTCAAGGATGACAGTAAATTCCTAACATTTCATCAGATTTGGGGCAAATTTAGATGTTTTCATAGTCTCGTAAGAAATATTTCTTTCTTTATTATTACATGGCCCAAATACTATAGAAATGTCAGTTACTATATATTCAAATTTGGCCAAGTAAAAATATTCTTATTTAAAAATATAAAACACCAACAAAAATATATCCAATCCTTTAGCAAACATAAAAAATATGTCCTCACTTGGGGCCATATAATCACAATCTAACAGGAAATAAAGTCCATTTTTTAAAAGTACAAGTTCCAGTGAAATGAATGTTAAGTAGAGTAGACATTTGCCTTAAAGATTTGAATAGGTCTAAGTAGAAAGGTAGGGTTCGAGATCTTTAAATATGTTCCTATTATGAGAACTTTTCTACATTTATGCATTCATTTCTATGTAATCTGACAAGTTGAGTCAATGAATATCCATATATTGTTACCTCTTAATCTGCAGATTATTATATCTGACATACGAGAACTATGGAAAATAGAGCTACTCTGGAGCAATGTGGACTGAAATGTCATGTTGTCACAGTGTTATTTTTATTCCCCTTTACAGGGAGAGCTTGTGTTGACAAATGCCTCTAAAGTATAAAGATACAGCCCATGTGCTAATATTAGCAGTGTTGTTAAAATAATAGTAATAATACCTGCAAGTTACTAAGTATATGCTCTATGCGCAAATGACCAACAAAATGGAGAACCTGTGAGAATATTTATATGACCCGCTCAAAGTCAGAGGTCTGGTTATGAACAAGGATTTGAGGTTCATGTTTTCTTACTACATTTTTCTAAATGGGGTTTTAAATCAGGCAATGGGATACTTTAAGTTAGGTTACCACGTGGTCTAGTCTCACCATTGTCCCGGCATAACTAGTAGACTCCATTTCATGCTTAGAAGTGTCCCAGTTTGGGCTTATTGCCCTAAATCAGTTTTATAATCAATCTATTCTGAGCAAGGTTTAAAATAAACACAAGACTTTCTGTAGATATTGTTCATGATGCTTTAATCAATCTTTTTTGCCTTTACTACAGGGCTTCAAATAAGTAGCAATTTGGAAATAGCTCAATGTATTTGGAAAAACAAGTGCATTTGTGAATACAGAATATTTATTAATGGAGTCTAATGTTTCCCTGTCCCTTATGCTCTGATTTTCTGTTCCCTCTCTCTCTGACAAACTTTTGTCCTTTCTCTTTTCTCTCTTCCTGCTGGGCCCCATATGTCCTGCTTTCTCTATTGACCAAGTGTCAAATAATTGGTTATATGGTTTCATTTTAGCTTTGGTTTTTGATGCATCTTTAAAATATAGCTGGATTATTCACTCAGATACTTAAACCACTATTTTTTTTTTTTTTGTACCGGGGATCGAACTCAGGACCTTGCGCTTGTGAGGCAGGCGCCAGAACCACTGAGCTAAATCCCCAGCCCTCAAACCACTATTGATGTCATTGTCATCAAAAAGAATAAAAACCAGTGTAAGACATCTCTAACTTATTTGTATTTCTTCCTTCTTGGTCTTGCTGTTACTATTCTGCCACTTCTTCACTGCAGCTGTAGTAGAGTGGTGCCCAGGGAGATTTCACGCTGCAGCTCCCGGGCAGTGCTACAGCAGGTTTTGCTGGGTTAGCGAGCTTCAAAATGTATTATTTCAAGCTCCGCCTCCCTCACATGTCTTTGCTCCTCTTCTGCTCTTATGGGCAAACTCTTGCCCTGTTTCTATTATTGTAAAGGCCTTTCAGGAAGAGCAAAGGAAATGATTTTTAAAAACAATCTGATAAAATATATAACTGCTTAAAAGACACACACGATAAGAAAATCTAACTTTCACTTTCGTCGGTTTTCAATGTATGGCTTTGATTTATGGATCAAAATTTCTCGTTTATTATTTTATCTCTACAGCTCTGGGCAATTTTGACAGTTAAAATTTAGTTTTATTGACCAGTGCAGCCACTGTGCCCACAAGGGGACTGGTGCACACAGCCTGCTGCACTCAAGAAACGATGAGTTTTGATTCCATGACTGAGTCAGATTGGGAATCATAACCGATGTAACAGTAAGTTCCAAATCTCAGTGCCTAAGGCAAGAGGTTTGCTGTAAAACACAATCACGCTGTAAGGCAGGGAGGAGGAGACCCATGGCTGGAAGTCTGCAAGCACAATTTAATGCAGTGGGGACAGGCCATGAATGTGTCCACCCCGGCGGTGGGGCATCTAAGGGGGAATTTCCACAAGACCCAGTCCTAGGAAGTAAAGCCTAATGAACAAAATGCCTAAAAGGCAAAATGAATGTTAGTTTCAGAGACAACGAACTAAACAACTATTTTAACGTGAACAAACGTACTAATGCTATTCACCAACATTTTATTTTTCAATTGACCGTAAAAACCTAACTGAAGCATTTTTGGGGACTATCTCTGTACCCTTCACCCGGCCTCACCCTCATCCATTCCAACAACATGTGCAAACATAAACCAATACAGTGATTTTAGGCAGTTTTAATTTAGGCCCATTTGACTACCAAACTGGCCACCTCTGCAATGTTAATTTAGTCTTTTGCTCCAAGTCCCCAGTGGTACGTAAACAAACTTCCTAAGGGTAACAAATCAATAAAATGTCTAATTTGATTAAACATGTTTTTTAGTTCATCAAGACAGCTCTAACCTAAAACAAATAGGTGAGTAAATAAATAAGTACACTCACTTGTGAGTATTTTCCATGTCTTCTTTTCATCGTCATAATACTGAACCAAATTGCTGGGGAGCCGGTCCGGTCCAGGAGGCAGCCCTCCGACCAATAACAGCATTTTCTTGTTAGAGCGAATTCTTCACCCAAAACAAAAGAGGAGATGAATAACCCCATTATTGTAGAATCTTTTTAGTGGCGACGAAATCATAACCATCAAAAGAATGTTCCTTGCTTGCAGATTTCTATTTCATTTTTTCCTGTTTCTTCTCCTATTCGTGTCTCAACAATTTTTTTTGAACCAAGCAGAAAAATGATCAGAAGAGCTGCATATCTTTATACTCATGGAATAATAAGCTTCCCTTTATGCAATTTGTTAGAGGTTCATTCTAGAACGACCTTTTTCTTATATTATCCCTTTAAATCATCACTCTTTACAGCTGAGTACACATGAAATGCTCTGGAGTTGTACTAAGGTTAAGCATTAAAGTTGCATGTCAAAAATTGTATTAGTCAAAATCATTATTATAAGCCATTCTCCACTCAAAGAACCTTGAAAAAATTAAGGTTATGCAGAGAGTTTGTGAGCCAACTCTTTAATCACCCTTGGAACTTCAAATACCAGTTTGGTACAATTAGTAGCACAGGACTGACTGGGGTGTGCTAACCAGTTTAAACATGAATTTTTGTTTGTTTGTTTAATTTAGCTTCGACTTCTGGCTCCAGCCCCTCTTTCCACTCCCGGCTCCCCCTCCCCTCCGCTCTCCCCCTGTGCACCACTGGCAATACAGCAGCGCCAATTGGTAAAGACGAGACTGATGTTGTTGTGAGCCTCCCCAGAGTGGAGCCCTGCCAATGCTTGCCACTGATCCAGCGGCATGAACCTGCTCAGCTGTGCAAAGTCACTCTAATTCCCTCCCTCTGTTTTTCTACCTTCTCCCCCAGGGGGCAACCACTGAAAGGAGTGACTACCCACCCATCAAGAGCTAGCAATTCGCTGCTATTAACCGTGACTATGATTCCCAGTCTGCCTGGCAGTTCCTGAGAACAGGCCTGCAATGTCTCATATGCAGTAAAAGCTATAAGACGCACCCTGGCCCCCACAAGCGACCTGATGGATGTACAATCCTAGGAAACAGTAATGGATGGAGCACACATGCCACTGAAGCAAGGAGAGGAGGCCCAGACCCCCACAAGGGGCCTGCTGATTTAACAGTCACTTTACATACAATTGAACTTCTCATTTACCTGAAAGGCTCAAGGTGGTGGTAGAGGAAATGGAACAACCATGATGGAAGAAAAAAGTCAATAAATAGAGAAAGGTTCACCTTAAATATGATCACAACCCATAGTGTGGCTCTGAATCTGTTATTACATATTCAACCCGTTCTGATTCAAGGATGCTTGGCAAAATGAGCTCTGTGGAGAGGCAGTGTTTGTTGGTTAAGAACCTAACATTCAGAGAGTTAACTGAATACAGTTCATGATATTTCCACGTGAAGGAAGGGGACAAGAGAATTCCTTTGACGAAACTCTGGTGCCATTGAAGGCATTGCGGAAGCCTCAGTAGAAAAAAACCTTCTGGAGAAACTCCTGTGTTCTTCACTTATCGATAGAGGGCGCTGTACTTACAGAAGAATGGCTAATGCAACAGCAGCTTACTACCTTAATTTTGTCACTGTGGATATAGCTGAGGAAAAAGAGAAACAAACAAATTCAACTTCTCTAAATTTAATGTACCCTTGAAGTGTTTATACTTTACAGATCACCAGTTGGTAAGGAAAAACAGAATAAAACAGCAAAGAATCCCATACATTGAGGATTTCAGTAATTGGAATGGATTTGTGAGAAGGATTAAGGAAAATCAGAGCAGTGCTCATCTCTTTTATATTTGGAAATAACACACACATAATTTATGTGGCATCCAATTTCATTAATGCATGGTCACAGAACTGATATATGGTCGCTTCTTTATTGTAGCTTTTAGTCCAAATAATCACTGTGTGTGTGAGAGAAGGCAAGATGGAAACAAATAGTCTTTTTTAGGTTGCAGCAAGTTACCAGGTGTATCCAGACCTATTCTACTGCAAGTCATGATTCTGTGGCTGTCCCGACATCACACATGCTCGTGCTGCCAGACTGCAGATGGGAGAGAGAGAATAACCTGGACGGGATAGACAAGGACTCGTTGAGGTGGTGCTTGTGAGAAAAGCAATATGATTAAATCTCCGCTTTCATTGATAAATATACCGGTGTAAAATGTGTCTAATGGGTGACGAAGGGAGATAAATGCATGACTCAAATATGTGTGTAAGGTCATCTTGTGCATTGATGAGACCAGCTTTCCCGGACCATTCTCACTGGTGATTTTCCACATGACTCTCTGTGGGTGAGAAGAGGATCTACAGTCTTTGTGCTCTCTGCCCATAGCACAACCATTTCCATCTGTCCTCTAAGAACTGGACTGAGACTTTCAATACATAAGCTACTGAACAGTTGGCAAATGGTAATGACGTCCACTCTTGCCAACAGTGACATGATTCAAGGGCTAGTAGACTAGCAGTAATGTAAGACAGCACATAACCAAGACAAACCTCTAAATGACGCAAGTCTCCACAGACAATGTGGTGAACAATTGCATGGAGGAAAAGGAAATCTCATCTATTCTCTTTGGTTGTGTGTTTTCTAACAAGTGGCAGTGCTTTCATTCCATTATGTTTGGCCCTCTTAGTGAGTGTAGATACATTTGAAACCTTTTGCATGGTTAGATTTATATCATCATTTATTTAATTTGGAGTATTTTGTCTGTAAAGCTTGTGCTTCTCAATTTTCCAACATGGTATCAATATTAGTTAATTCTAAATGAAGCTTAAAGCTCTATGTTGTGAGGGTAAACCACATACAAGCCAAAAATAAAGTATGTGAGAAGTTGCATGATATAGAAGAAAGACCATAAAAAGTAGCAGAACACATCTGAGTGTTTTTCTCATCATTTTCTCTTTTGACTCTCAAAACAGGCCAGTGTGGCAGGTCTAACTGTGTATTTTACAGAAGACTGAGAAAGTTCCCGTCGTTGTTATAAGGGAATATACATTTGGGCATTACATAAAACTATGAAACTTTCTGGATCCACATAAAGGGATTAATAGAGACTACCGCACATTTCTTATTGCTTAAGAATAGTACAAATGAGAAAAACTGTTGCATATTTTACTTTGATAAAAATACAATGTCAACTTTTCAATTATTCCTAGAAAGTAACACATGTGAATAATTCCTGCGGCAAAGCTTTCAGGATTTTACTATGTGCAATTATAACAGTGACTGTGACAATAATGACAGATAATAATGAATGTGTATTAGATATTGAGCCCCTGATTATCATGCCATTTATTTGATGTGTGTGAACTTCAATTTGAAAATGCCATGAAGCAAAGATACCTTGTGAATTGGAAAAATAAAATTAAAAGAATCTATACTAACTGTGTTGAAGGAGTTTTCAGTTATACTTTTCAAAATAACTCCAGCAGAGCTTTACAGGTTTAATTTTAGATTAGACAAAAATCTACAAATGTAGCTTTATTGCGATAATTAGAGCTACTTCATCTGACAACATGATATATATTCTTAGAAGCCCTTTATATAGGAAACCAGTGTAATCAAAATTAATAGGTTCACTTGATAGCTTTTATTATTTTAAAAATATTCCTTTCATTTCTCATTTAAGCACCACTAGGACCAAAATAATGTATTTAAAAGATAAGAAAGTAGAGACATTTAAATAAATAAAAGGTTCAGTGTGTCATAATTGATAATATTATTTGGATGCCTTTAATTTGAGCCTCTAGATTCTTGCATCCCAAAATACAAGGTGATGGAATTTGAAGTTCTCCTTTGTTCCATCTCAGTAATTGCCCAACATTTACCATGTGTCACATTTGGGTGTGTGGGCTCATGTGTGCATGCTCACGTGCATTCCTACTTTGGTTCCAGGGATGAATGATTGAAAGATGACCTAAAACCTCTTGATGTAAACAAATTTTTCATCATACTTGCATTCTAAGTAGGGCAAAATCTCATTTATTTGTATTTCAGTGATTTGGAACTGTAATAATTGAGAAACAGGCCAGATAAAGTTGCCCTTCCCATGATACATGAAAAAAGTTTTCATTTAGCAGATTGCAAAGAGAGTTTTACCGTCTTGAAGAAATAAGCTGGTTTGCAGGGACTTTAGAGATACTGTATGCTCTTAGACAAAATTCATTAGGGAACTCTAAATGATTTTCATTTATTTATAAGACAAGGTACTCTGCAATGTTCTAAGAATTAAGTCATGCAGTTGAAAGAAAATTTTGAAACAATCTGGTTCAGTGATTTCAGCTTTGGCAAGTTATCAAGATCATCTGAGGGAATTAAAAATTTTAGATTCCTGATGTAGATCTCAGCTCTAAACTCTCAGAAATTGTGATTCAATGGGAGGAGGACTTAAAAATCAATCTATTCCACAGCCTTCAAGATGATTCTAACACTCAGCCAGACTTGGGACCACTGACTTGGTCCAGTTCTGTGCATAATGTAGAAATCCTTTTAGTATTTTCAATAAGTAATCGATTATTCTTGCCCATTTAGAAGTATATAATGGAGCTTAGTTTTCTAAATCTGCTCTGTTGTTGAAGGTTGTCGGGTAGTTGTGTTAGATATATATTTTTCTCCATATGCTGAGTTGCATAACCTACCTAGGTCTTCTAGAGAAAAGTCTACAGAGCAGAGGTGGGAAACCTATGACATGTGTGTTGTTCTGTTTTTTCTTTTAAGACAAAAGATGTTAATAATGTATGAATTGTTTTTTTATGAACTAAAACCTCAGTGTTCAGGTTTAATTGGAGAGTTGGCATATTGCAATAATTAAGTGGGTTTTGGGTTGCAGTTTGGGGACTTGGTCTCTGAAAGGTTCACCATCATTGCTATACAGCACGGACAAATTAAAATACTGGAGATAATTGCCAGATGCCTCCTCTTCTCCATGCTGAAAAATCCCCGTTTCTTTTTGAAAAGACTTCCATTTTCCTCATCGTCCTGGTTACTTCCTTTGAGTATATTCTAGACTATCACAGTTCCTTTTGAAATGCAAAAGTCAAAA